CAGCACTGGGCGAAACTGAAAGCTAACCCTTTAAGGGTGAGACCTGCCAACAAGTCCTGTGGTTAAATGACAAGTGCAACAGTTATTACTATAACAGGAAAGCCAAGATGGTGTAGAAACATCTCTTTTTTTAAACTGTGGGAAGGAATGGAGTCATGCACACTGCAGCATTTTTCTCATAGGAAAGTGGAAGACACACCTCCTACTGCTACCTCCACCTAATTTACCAAAGTAGAGTCAGTATACTCTGAACTTGTACCATCAGTTACTAGGTATCTGTTAATAAATAGGGGCATACATAACTCTACTGAACTACACTTTAGATGGAAAACATTCAGGAGTGACAGCCAAAAAAATTGAAAACAAATTAATATTTTAATACATTTCCCAAATAGCGACAGCTGGCATTTACAGAAAGTTCTACTGAGTAGTTATCAGCATTCTCCAGAAATATAAAATGCATAAGACACATTGCAGAAAGTGTTTTCACCTTTTTGCCCACCCCATTTCCTAGCATCCTCTTCAGGGACCTCTGCCCTACCTTTCACCCTGACCCACCCCCCTTCTCTGAGGCCCCACCACTGCTTGCTCCATCCCCCCTCCCTCTGCTGCATACTCTCCCCCACCCTTACTCACTTTCACTGGGCTGGAGCAAGGGGTTGAGATGTGGGAGGGTATAGGCTCTGGGAAGGAGTTTAGATGCAGGAGGGGATTCCGAGCTGAGGCAGTGGATTAGGGTGCAGGAAAGAGTTAGGAGTGCAGGGTTCTCACTTACCATGGCTCCTAGGAAGTAGCCACTAGGAACCTGTAGCCCCTAGGTGCAAGGAAGCTCTGCACACTGCCTTTGCACACTCAGGCATCACCCCCACAACTCCTACTGGTCAGGGCTGGATTAAGGCATGGGCTAGCTGGCCGGCTGCCCGGAGCGCCAACCTATGGGGGGGTGCCCAGCTCTCAGATCGCGGGCTGCAGCAGCTCCCAGCAGCCACCCTGCAGTGGCTACCCGGGGTGGGGGCCGCATTAACCCCTGCAGCGCCAACCAGCTGCACCCTTCCCACTGCAGCTGCGGGGCCCTGCACAGCCAGGCTCAGTCCGCCCTGGCCGGCCCCAGGCTGTGCGCCAGCGGCGGGGGCCCCGCGTGCGACCTGCCGCCACCAGCTCAGTGCGCTCTGCCTCACGTATACATTAAATATTTTCTTTCCTAATAAGTTTAATAAGCCACTTGTCTCTTCTACTTCCCACTGCATGATTGCAGTCTAAATATGTCCACTAGGTGTATGAAGTGCAACCATGGGATGGACATTGTGTTTTAATGCTCAAAGTATTTAATTGGTAAATAGTAAAGAACTGCTATTAAAAATGAACTTTACGGCAATTAAATGCTTTTAATTATCAGGAAACATTTTACTTTGAGAGCTATTTTATAGTAAATGTGACTGTTCTGATGCTACTTGAATTCTGATTTCTTTTCCTGATCAAGCTGTACATTTTTTCTTTTGCATGTAGGTTAGTATATCCAACTTTTGCCTATAGGGTGCCAATGGTTCTGTGGACACGGACTGTCAGTTTCAGCATAAACATCTAGTTGGATTATTTTAGGCTTTTGTTCAGAAGGAATTTTAACCCATCTTCTTCTATTTGCAGATGATAGGTTTGGTAACAAAGTTCGTTCTGGAGAACGCAGATAACAGAAAACAAGTTGGCACATAGGCACCGATTAAGTGAAAGGCAGTTGAAAAAGAAGCAACTAAAGTTACAAATCTTCTATTAAATTTCATTTCCTCTTGCAGTACCAAAATTTCAGACTGATTACTGTGTGCACTGTAATTTTCAGGCAAAGATTGAATTTTATTAATTTTGTTTAAAACCCGCAGGAAAACTTTAAAAGGCGGTTTTTAGTTTAACAACAAAGCATTATTTCTTTTGGGATTTTCTGGTCACTTATTTTTGTTCGGGGAATCTAATCTTCTTCTACCGCTCCTTCTCTCCTGAACAAGCTAAGCCTTTTTTCTCTTTGAACATTTCCATCATCAGTCTCTATATCTGTGTTATGTCTCCCTTTCTCTTTGGCTATGGCTACGCTACAAGCGCTGCCAGAAGAGGCAATGCAAATGAAGCACGGATTAGCATCCTGGCCCCCCACACCCACCAATCAGCCCCTAAGCTCCCTGCAGATAGATGGTGCTCTGCAGGAGCAGCCCTTGCCTGCAGGGCACCCAAGCTCCCCATGGACAGAAGCCAGAGGCATAGTGAGGGTGTTATGCACCCGGGGGCAAAAGCAAAATTTGCACCCTCCCCCCCCCCCCGCCACCATGTGACAGGGCCCCGAACTTGGTGCACAGCTGAGCTGGAGGGAGCTTGTACTGTATCTTCCCCCACCTCTTCCAGCTTGGGGTATGCATTATCTCACTGTTGAAGAGGAAGGAGGGTTGGGCTGGGGGTGGATGGATGGGGTTGGAGGCTTCGGCAACAGTGGTAGATGGAGGAGGAGCAGGCGAGCAGAGGTATGATAGGGGGAGCAGAAGGGCAATTCCCCCCCACACACACCTCCTTTGCTATGTCAGTGAATGTAAGAGATTAACTTACCTGTTAAAATAATACTCAGAAAAAACTTTTAAATAAAATTAACACACAACACAAGAATTGCCCTTGCTTTCTTGAAGCAATAAGTAGCCTAAGGCTGAGGTTACACTGCAAGCGTGGCTTTCAGTCTGCCATGAGGACTTTTTCCTTCAGGCTGCTGTGAGATTCTATCCTTAAGTAAAGGAGAGAGGTCTCTCTGAGCTGCTCTTCCAAATTTCACACAAGCCATTCAACTGAAGCCATAGATATCAAGATTCAAGGCCAGCCTTCCCTTTGGGAGACTGCCTTGCCAGATATTCACAATTAGACTTACCGGTCTGTAATTGCCAGCATCACCTCTAGAGCCCTTTTTAAATATTGGCGTCACATTAGCTATCTTCCAGTTAATAGGTACAGAAACCGATTTAAAGGATAGGCTACAAATCACAGTTAATAGTTCCGCAATTTCACATTTGAGTTCTTTCAGAACTCTTGGGTGAATGCCATCTGGTCCCAGTGACTTGTTACTGTTAAGTTTATCAATTTGTTCCAAAATCTCTACTAACACCACCTCAATCTGGGACAGTTCCTCAGATTTGTCACCAAAAAGGAATAGTTCAGGTTTGGGATTCTACCTAACATCCTCAGCCTTGAAGACCAAAGCAAAGAATTCATTTAATTTCTCCACAATGACTTTATTGTCTTTGAGTGCTCCTTTGGCATCTCAATTGTCCAGGAGCCCCACTGGTTGTTTAGCAGGCTTCCTTCTTCTGAAGCACTTAAAACCCATTTTGCTATTACTTTTTGGGTTTTTTGGCAAGCTGTTATTCAAACAACTTTTTGGCTTTTCTTATTATACTAGCCAATTAGCCCGCCCTAAGATGGAATTTTCAGGTCTCTCCTCCACGTCGGTCTTCTCTCCTGAGCCTCTGGTCTCTCACGCTGTCTCTCTCTCTCCCCTCCTCCTCCTCCCTTCCCCTCTCTCTCAGCTCTCCTCCGCCTTCTGCCTCTCTATTCATCTCTCTTTCTCTTCTACCCCTCCTGCCTCTCACTCTCCCCTTCTCTCCCCCCCCTGCCTCTCACTCTCTCTCTGCTCTCCTCTGTCTCCGTCGGGGATGCACACTCGTCCAGGCCCCGCCCCTTGAATGTTCCTTCTGGGCGGTGCTGTTGCCTCCCACCGTGGTGCTCGGCTGACTTCTGCACCGCTCAGCCAGGCAGCCGTGCGGGAGCAAGCACCGCAAGCGGCTGTTTGGACCCAGTGTTGCATGGGGAGTGTGGACCCCAAGCAGCCGCTTGCACTGCTTGCTCCCGTGTGGGGCACAGCTGAATGGCGCAGAAGTCAGCCGAGCGTCATGGCGAGAGGCAACAGCGCCGCCCAGAGGGAACAGCCAGTGTTTCAGCGTTACAGAGTCACAGACACTGGGCTTGTGTGTGTGTGTGTATATATATATGATTTTTACACTTAATTTCACAGAGTTTAAGTTCCTTTCTATTTTCCTCACTAGGATTTAACTTCCACTTTTCATACAATGCCTTTTTATCTGTGTCTGCTTTTTTTACTTGGTTAAGGCAAGCCATGGTGGCACTTTTTTGGTTCTCTTACTGTTGTTTTTTAATTTGGGCCTCTATTACAGTGTCTTTGAAAAGTTGCCATCCAGTTTGCAGGGATTTTACTTTTGGCATTGTACCTTTTAATTTCTGTTTAACTAAACTTATTTTTTTATAGTTCCCTTTTCGGAAATTAAATACTATGGTGTTGGGCTGCTGAGGTGTTTTTCCCACCACCTCTTGGTCCAGATCCTGTGCAGAGAGGAGCATGGATGGAAGGATCCATGCAATGATACCCAAGACCAAGTGCTCCTGAATTCCACCCTCCCCACCATGCAGATGCTCGTTGGACCTGAGTCCCTCCTATATTCCGCTTCCACTTTCTACAGTAAAACCAATGCAACACAATGAACTCTTCCTAATGTCTGTGGATCTTCCATATCCATGGAGAAGTGGGTTAGATTTGGACCCTAGAGTTCCCAATTGATTTTTGATTGAGTTTTGTGACAAAACCCTGAATCTGATCCCTGTGAGACAAACAAGGCTCTTAATCCCTAAGAAACACTCATTGAGGCACACAGACTCCAAGGTCAGAAGTAAAGGCTGTTTTCTTTCTAGAGACTTGAAACAATTGCTAGGCTTACCAAATTTCAGAGTAGAGGGCAGGAGTCACTAGATTTCAGTCTACTCACTTATTCCCATCAGAAAAACTGATCAACATAGCACATGTTACTGTCAGGTACTCTTGACAACATGTGCTTAAAAATACAAACTGAGAAGTCACCTGACATTCATTTTATTGTTTTCGAAAACCCTTCATAAGCCTGCAAAATTATTTATCCATCAATATTGTTCTTTTCCATTTTACAAACAGCAATAATCCTCTGAAATGGAAACAGAAATTAAAGTAACTCCTTTTATTTAACAAGTTTTCAAAAAGCACAACTTGAGCCTTTATGTACCAAGCTTTACAATAGCAGCACAACACTTGGAATAGAACTAGTTAATGCTGTTAAAGAAAAACATGGGAAACAAGATAAAAGTCCCATCAAAACAATGGATTCTCTGTTCCACTTGCATCTGAAGAAAAGGTGGTACTTCTTTAATAAATATGTTTAAAAAACACGAGGATTTTCCCACTTCAGATGTGATTGCTAAAACTTGAGGCTCCTTAAACACAGATTTGGGGTGGGAGGTGATTGAAGGCAAACAAAAAATGTTAACAGCATTTTATTGACCATTACTATTTTAATAATATAAGAACACTCCGCCCTAACATCCTGGTGAAGAGCACATAGATAGGAAAAATGACCCTGAGATTTTTCTAGAAGGTAATCTTTTACACAGCATACCATGGAGATCCTCCAAACACAAAGGCAAGAAAAGACCATGATGCCACAATGCCACAAATTCTGCAAGGGAAGAAAGGTACAATGTTATTAGGAGATTCACACTTGGGGTTAATTGGGTGATCACGAAAGTGAAATTCCCTCCTGAGTCAGAGCTAATATTCTCCCTGCACCTGTGTCACTATCACTGGGTTAATACAGCATAGGAACTTTAACGTGCAATTCTCCCTGATATTCCAGAATTGAACTTTCAATACAATTTTATTCTTCCCCAACTTAGTATTCCAGTACTGGGTCTCAGAGATCAGCATCTGTCAATTATGACAGCATGGCAGTTTTGTGATGGCCACAAGGAAACATCCAAGTCAAGATTGTAATCCAGAGATAGAAGATAATTTACACAGTTAACATTCTAAACCACCACATAAAGCCTACTTCTGAATGACATGTTTTCATGGTGGAGCTACAGTGTAACTTAGGAGCAATTAATGCTTTTCATACAATGAATGCCAGACAACCTAGTCCAGGAGGGGAGCTTATTCTTGGCCTGACAGTAGAAGGTACATAAGATCATCACTACTTACTGTAGCAAGCAGTTCACTTGTGGCGAGTGCCTCCAGTGGTGATAAAGAAAAATCCGCAGATTAGGGTGAGCTTTAAAATCTCGCAGAACAATCCTGACACTAAGAAACAAAGCATAATCATATTATATTACATACATTTTGCAGTAAGAAAGCAATTGGGAGGTGTAGAAGGGAGAGGACGAGAGGCTGAGGAATTAGAATTTTGATCACTTACTCGTTAAACTTATTGGAGAGCAACAGAAATTGGTTCTTGGTCAGTCGTCTAACATCAAACTTGCAGAGACCTTTTAACTCCTGATAGATCTGTTCTTCATCCACCCCAGGCCAGCCCTGAACACTGGCAATCAGAAGAGGTGGACGATGGCTAGGGACATCTGTGCCAGAAAAATTCTGAAAAACAATGAAGTGAAATGAATCCACAGACTCTCAAATTTAATCCACATCCGACTGTGGAAATACTAAAAGTGGTATATAAAATATTTAAACACAAGAGCCAAAAAAGTGACAGTGATAAGCAATACAGGCAGTCCCCGGGTTACGTACAAGATAGGGACTGTAGGTTTGTTCTTAAGTTGAATCTGTATGTAAGTCGGAACTGGCGTCCAGATTCAGCCGCTGCTGAAACTGATCAGTTTCAACAGATCCGACTGTGGAAATACTAAAAGTGGTATATAAAATATTTAAACACAAGAGCCAAAAAAGTGACAGTGATAAGCAATACAGGCAGTCCCCGGGTTACGTACAAGATAGGGACTGTAGGTTTGTTCTTAAGTTGAATCTGTATGTAAGTCGGAACTGGCGTCCAGATTCAGCCGCTGCTGAAACTGATCAGTTTCAACAGCGGC